GTTGCCAACACATTTTATATACAATTACATTTTTGCTGAAGTTTTCCCTGGGTTTTATTCCTTTCCTCTTCCTTTCTTTTCTCTCCTCAAACTTTTCACTCTCCCTTCTTTCTTTAAGACACTTCTTTCCAATTCTTCCTTTCTCCCTTCTCTCCTTCCCTTTTTTCTCTATACAAACCTTTCCCCCACCTTTTAACATATGTAACTCTTTCATTCAAACTCAGATCCTTCACAATCACTCTTCTTTATCTGTCAGCCATCATTCAGACTGTGTTCACGGTTGCCCTTCAGCTGCACCTCAATCCCTGTCCTCTCCTTTTAACCTCAGGCTTATCTATCAAACAGCATACCTCGTTTTGTGTGCGTGTAGAGTAGAGATAGTACTAGGAAGAGAATATTCCTTAGTCTCTTCTACCCCACAGCACTTACACACCTTTCCCCTCCCAGGGAAGGAGGGGAGAGACAGACCTAGAGGTACCAACAACCATTCTTCCCCATTCACAATTGATTGAGTGAAAAATTACTCCTAGTTGAACAGCATTTGGTCAAACAGAGGTCTCCATACTAAACTAAAGGTCAGATTATACCATGTAGCTGTACTGAGCACACTACTGTAGAGAAAAGACTTAGAGATTGGAGACTGCCCAACATAGATGGATGAAGGAGATGCTATACAATTCACGGAAAAAAATAAAATAAATGCAAAACTAAGGAATCTGACAGAGCAAGACATGTTAGAAAATATCATCAAAGAAAGAAGGCTCAAGTGGTTGCAACATGTATATTGTACAGTGGTTGCAACATGTATATTGTACAGAAGATGGGAAACATGCTAAACAAACACTGAATTGGGTAGCCAAGGAAGGAAAGAGAAAGCAAGAAAGGCCAAGCAGAAGATACTGATGGAGAACACCGAATGTGCTGGTATCACCTGGGAAGAAGTACTACAACTAGCAAGCAACCATAATCAATGGAGGAACTGGATTGCACTCAGCTCTTAGGCAAAGGGAACAGAACACTGATCTGTGAGCATGGCTCGTAGCTGAGGCCTGGCCTGACATGAGTAATTAACACATAAGGGAGGCCTCATTTCTTGGAGAACAGAATTAGGGAGATAAACAGATCATAAGGTTCAAAAAGACCGAATGTCTGAGCCAGCTAAGGTAAGAGGGAGAACTCCCATGGAACCATTTACTAACAATGGACAAGACAAGTTAGGAATGTAAGGAGGAGCTTGAGCATGAACCCTCTTATGGACAGAGCATGCTATACAGGGATTGGTTCCTGCAAAGTGACCAAGCCAACCCCCAAATAGTGTGATGCAATGTACAGTAAATGCAATGAGATGTGTAAATGTATATGAAGGGAGAGGGTTTCTTTGCAACTTCGGATGTGGTATGCCTTATACCCACCGCCTAACACTTGAGTCTGATCAACTCAGCATAGCTTTGCTGTATGCCAGAAAAAGAACCTGAATGATTAAATCTGGAGTCAAACTGAATTTTTTGGATCCCAGAGAACTGGATGAAGTGTTCTCCCAAAACTGAACAAGGTGCTCTGGATAAGCATAGTGGAAATAAGTCTCATAGAGAGAATCCCAGCACTGCTGGGCAAGGAAATAGCTTAATGGGGGCCCTATCCATTTCTCAGTATCAGTGAATCCAGAGATTGTCCTTCGGCAAGAGAAGGAAGTTAGGCTTTCATCGCTGACCACCTTCCTCTTTCCACTACTTCTGTGTTTGGGGTCATGAAGCAGGGGATTTTCAGAATAGGGCTAAACCTGGAAATATGTGCTCAGAGTATATGGTAAGGGTGGGGTCCTGTGTGGTGGCATTCTTGGGTCAACCCAGTCAAAAACAGAGAGGACAAGGACAGGAAATGGGGAGATGTGAGAAATATGTAAGTGGGTTGACAGGAGACAGAAGGAAGGATAGGAGGCATAGGAGGGAAATATCAAAAGGTCTGGACAAGATTTCCATAAGGATCCATATTTTTAGGTTTCCCTGAACTTTGTTGCTTTCCTACCATAGAAAAATATAATAATGCCAATGGAGTTTAACATGGTGCACATTTACACCATATGGTAACATACTTTCCAACATACGTCTTTGACACCCGAGGTCCAAACCAAACAGACAAAGCCAAAAAACACATTATTAGTTCAATAGAAGGCAAAAAGAAATAAAAATTAAGAGGGACTAGGAACCACATTAAAGAGGCGGGCGTGAGGGAGGAGGAGGATACTCCAAGGATAAATTTACACACAATATAAAATAAGAGATCAGACACAAGAGAAATGATCAAGTCACACCGCATAAAAATAAAGTCAATTGCAAAGTTTAAATTGAATGAATAAATGGTCACAAATTACTAAGGGCCAGATTTTTAAAAGTATATAGGTCATTGCTGTGCTCAGCATTGTAACACCTGATTTAGGAGCCTCACTCTCATTTCCAAAAGGAATTGCAGTTGATGGGATTTAGGCTCCTAAGTACCTAAATCCCTTTTGAAAATGACTTTTAGGCTACTAAATCAGTTAGACATTGCAACTCTGAGCCCAGCAACACCTAAATACCTTTAAAAAATTGGCCTAAGTTACTATAGTCATATCAGCATAACTGTTGTATTACAACTTGGTTATGATAATAGTACTAAACTAATTTTCAAGAAAGGTAAAGACCTCCAATTGTTAAAGAGATTGCAGTTTGGAATGTGCACCAGGGATGGCTTACTCCCTTAGGGCTGAAGCTAGCTAACTCAGATTATAGAATGAGCCACACCTGGGAGAGACCAGGGTGGGTGGGTCAGGTTTTATAGCCTGCATCATGCGGGAGTCAGACTAGATGATCATAATGGTCCCTTCTGACCTTAGAGTCTATGAGGGTAATTGCCCTAGAAAGAGCAGCAGGAGACTACCAAGGGACTGGGAAAACTTAGGGAAGCTCCTGCAGGAAAGACCCTGAGGTCAAGGGAGCTGTGAAAGGTAAGCACTGCAGTGAGCAGAAGGCTTCTGCTAGAGACCCTGACTGAGAGAAGAGTTTGGGCCTGGTAGCCAGAACCACAGGGCTGAGGAAGGCTGAATGTTAACCAGGTAAATCCTGGGACTACTGGGTCCAGTTCCTACTTGAGATCTTAACTGGGAGAAGAGTTTGGGGCCTGGAAGCCAGAAGGCTGAGCTCCAGACAGGTAAAACCAGAGAGGCTTTGAATTGGGACCTAGTTCTGGGGAAAAGTGCTGCAGGCTCTCTACTTAAAAGGAGAGTGCGACTGAATTGGAGTTATGGCCTGGAGGGCCAGTATCTAAGGACTCAAAACATTTCCACCCAGGGTCCCATTTATTACCTGTGCCCTGAGAGTTAAGGGGCCCTGAGAAATTGTTAGCCGTATACTAAAGAGTGACCTCTGGCCATGAGGGGGTGCACAGGAGGCAGCCAACCCTTTTCCAGAATGCTACAGTATTAAACATGGACAGACACTACAATATTCTCTCTGATTCAGCATACAAATTAAAGTAAACATTTGCAATTTGTTACATTCCATAACCCATTATTTGCTTCTATACCTACTAATAAATGCAGCAAAACCTCTACAACTTTCTGCATCATTAGGCAACCTCCTAAGGGATTATCCCAAATGTACAGAATACAGTTTTGCTTTATTACAAAACCACATCTTTTAAGCAAATGATATTTGTTGCTCCCTTTAGGCAGCTATTACTATATTCTTAAGCAAAACATAAATATTTTAGGGTACACTCAGAGTAAAACTAATCTATGAGGTTTCATGCAGATATTTGAATATATAAATATCAATATTACCTATTCCATTACTTCTAAGTTTCAAATGGGGAAAGAAAGCAACACTGAAACCCATCTTCCCACATTTTCTAAAATGGAATTCAGTACTGTAGATAACAATACTTTTCAAAGATACTGCAGGGGCTACCCCCTCTTGTTTTCACAGTTATTTTTTGTATGCATTTAGTTCCACATCAACAAATTAATTTGAGTTATACAGTGTTATCCTGACTCATTTTGAAATTAAGGACAGAAAAACAAACAAACAGAGAGGGGCTTGAACCCATACATTATGAGTAGGATGGTTAAAATAACTCAATGTTGACCTACCTCTGCTCCCATTTACTTCATTGGGAGCACAGTTAGGCCAGCACTGAGTTCCTGGATCTGGATCTGAGCTTCCTTGTTCTCCTTCATCTCTAAATATTGAATTCTCCTATGATATATGTACATTGTTTTTTCTGACTCTGTATTCAGTATTATGAATATTATCTTTATAATTAATATTCCTAAGTATACATATTAGATCGGGGTCGGCAACGTTTGGCATGCAACTCGCCAGGGTAAGCACCCTGGCGGGCCGGGCCAGTTTATTTACCTGATGACGTAGCAGGTTCGGCCCATCGCGGCCCCCACTGGTCGCGGTTCGCTGTCCCGGGCCAATGGGGGCGGCGGGAAGCCGTGGCCAGCGCATCCCTCACCCGCGCCGCTGCTCGCCACCCCCATTGGCCCGGGACGGCGAACCGCGGTGAGTGGGGGCCGCGATTGGCCGAACCTGCCGCGTCAGCAGGTAAATAAACTGGCCCGGCGCGCCAGGGTGCTTACCCTGGTGAGCCGCGTGCCAAACGTTGCCGACCCCTGTATTAGATACTTACAAAGTTTAAATGAAGTGGAAAAATGTGAAATATAAAATGCCTAAACCCTTTTGTCACTACTATATTGATAAAAAACAAACATACAAGTTGCACTTTTTTTACTTGTGCTATAACAAAAATTAATAATAAATATTTGTAAAGGACAATGAACCCTAAATTGTTCCTTTTCAAAAGTGCACCTTACCTTTTTTACTAGAAGTGATTTGTTTATTAACTGACTCTCTACCAAAAAAAAATAAAAAGGTAGAACACATCCACAATTTTCTCCAGAGATTTTATTGCTAAGCAGTTTCGCAGGTGTATGGAAATGAGAATTCAGTTGAAATTACCTTAATAACCAAATCAAATTTCTGGTGCAAATCCCTGTTTATTGGCTTTAGGAGACTGAGTACAGCTGTTGTAAGATTCATACAGAAGTATTGTGGATAATCCTCAGGAGTCCCTGCAAAAAGATATTGAGGTTTGAAAACATAATTGAGAGAAATAAGTACTGTGTGTAACAGCTTTATTTAAACAGTATATTTACTTCACTCATTAACCAACAACGGAACAAAATCAAATTCAATTAGTAAAGGGGTAAAAAAAATCATGCAGTATATAAGAAAGAAAGAACAGACCTTGCACAAAACTAATAAAAATAAAATAATTTCTTTTGTAACTTTCAAAAGTTGAAAAACAGCTGTTTTCACAATTTTTTAATAAATTTGAGGATTTATAGTCAGTGTTCATGAAAGAGCATCTAATAGCACTGGTTAGAATAAAGCTTACAGAAGGCAATTATTGACCATGTCACTAAAACATCATCACTTATGACCTTGAACATTCCTTTTGTTCCCTTTATGAAAGGAGACTACCACGTGTGCCAAATGGTGTGTCTGATTGTGTCACTGAGATCTGTGCAAAAAAGGAATACATGGACTTCATTCCTCTGCATGGAAAGAGGTCTCAGTAAAGTTCAAGGCAGCATTTCCCTTAGGTTTTGCATAGGTCCTCTTATACTGGTTGGTATCACAGGAAGGCTTGGACCACAGAAGAACAAGCAGGGCAAGTCCAGAGTGGCAGATGTACATTTTTTCCTCCTGCCCCCCATCAGAATTCTCTGTGGACATGTATACAGCCAAAAGCGGTTTACATTTCCATACCCCACTCGCAGGATGAGGATTCCCCTTAAGGGGGAGAAGGGGCACTAGTGTAGCAGTCAACTGCAGAAACCTTGAGAGCATAACTCTGTTGAAGCTGTGCTCCAGAGAATAAGGAACTCAGAGCCACTGTGAAGGCACAGGACTTCCATGCAGATGGTCCCAGCTTTCTGTTCATTTTCCAAAGGTATGACACAGAAATCTCCATTTTAGCCACCTCCCAGAGGTTTTCCCTGGCCAAGTCCTATGACTGTTTGAGATGAGAACAACTATTCACCTGTGAGTCATTTGAGAGCAAACATATTTGTTTCACTTGTGGTGGACATAACAGATTTTAGCCCAGTTCCTAAGAGATAACCCTTACACCTAAACAAATATTTCAGTTTACTACTGAATAACAAAGTTTGAATATTGCACTCCATTATTTTATTTACTGAACACTATCAATATACTTAGTACTGTACAAAACAGAGTGAAGAGTCACTTGAAAGAGTGATTTTCCATTTTTTAAAAAAGTATTTTAGAATGGTGGGATCAGATAAACAAAAGAAGAAAATATCTCACTGCTGGTCTCAGTAAACAACTATTAAGTGATAGGTTAGGCCCATTGTGCAAAGATTTACACATGTACTTAACTTTATGCACTGTAAGAAGTCCCATTAACTTCAATGGGACTACTCAAAGTGCATAAAGGTAACTATGTGCTGGTCTGTAAATTTGTGCAGAGACAATATAATGGAGTCATTTTCTACTTACAGAGTTTTTGCTTTTAAGATTTAGAAAAAACAAGAGAAGAGGTATGCAGAGGTGAAAAGGGTGAGGTAAAAAAGGTAGTACTTGAATTACAGCTTTGGCAGAATACAAAGACAGCACTTTTTACCACAGATTACCAAATACTCCAGAAAGGTTTATTATGGGAGTACTGCATTTATTGCTGAAGGGATTAACAACAAAATTATTGGTAATGTTTGCCTCTGTTAAGTGGCACTGTACAGACCATACACAGTTGTGATCTACAGGCTTTATTGTATAGGAAATTATGTTTCTCCAAAAGCTAAAACCTATTGCAGAACTAGAATTTTGCAGGAGCCCTGGGCTCCATTATGGAAATTCTACCCTTTTAAGAGCCTTGCCACAGGGAGTGAAAGCTATCAACTCTGACAGTGTCTAAAGCAACTCGATGTGTGAGCTAATATCTACCCTGATCATCTTTGTTATAGCATATTGAAAAAGCAATATCTTGTACTGAATAGGCACTTTCATCTATGTCAAAGAGAGAGAGAGAGAGAGAGAGAGAGAGAGAGTGTGAAGAGCATGAATGCTGTATTCTACTTTATAGAAGTATCCAGAAAAATCAGTTGCTCCCAATGCTGGTAACAAAACTACAAAAAAACATTTAATGGAAAAGAGGTGTACCCAAGAGTTAAATGTTTAATTCATAGGAGATGGATATAATATATGTAAAATATTATACACATACCTGTGTACACATATATAACACTCACCCACAAACAAAACAAGCACTGATATAATACATTATAAAGATTTTATTAGTTCGAGATGGCCGTAGTACTCAAGAGTGGTGAGGCAACAAATACCTTATACTGGTCATTTTAAACAAGTGATGATAAAAACTTCACACCACACTATCATGCATTGTATCTTGTAAATACTACATATATCAGTTACTTGAGAGTGTATATATATATATAATTTTAAGTATCTAAAATATTTCTATTTATTGTATTCATAAATGGATTATTGATTGGATCCCTCTGTGAAAGGTGTGGCGGCGCTCTTTAATAATTGTTATCACTCTATCTGTATTTGTCCCTAGTATGGTATTTCTGTACCATATATGGAAATAGCTATTTCATCCTAGAGGTGTGTCTGGAGAACAAAGACTGCGAGAAGATCAGAGCCAGCCTTAAGGACACTAGCCCAGTCTCCAGCGCAGCCCCAAACTCTTTACAACAGGAGAAGTCAGGGCATCCATACAAATGAGAAAGAACAAGACTGGAAGAGAAACAGACAGAGGCTCACAGACACACAGGAGGATGTATTTTCAACCCTCTCTCTGAGCAGTTCAACCACTTGGGGACTGGATCTCCGGGTCACAGCCCCCATAACCCAACCATGTCCCTTTGGACACAGAAATAGCACTTTCAAAAAAACCTATTAGTTATTCATTCACCCAACATTATAAAGCACCTGGAGCAAAGAGTAAAAATAATAAAGGCTTATGTTTTGAATATATGAATATTTCCTCTTACCAAACCCTTACGTTTTCCTTGAATGCTTTGGTACATTTCATATAGTCTAATTACCTCCATCCCTGTGCTGGGAGAAGCAGACTGTCCTGCTAGCAGCATGCTCCCTCTGTCTCTGTGGGTCTTCTTGCTTCCCTGACAGTACCTAGTTATGCTCCGGCCATTCACACTTAATCCCCTCCCTTTTCTAGGACTGGGGTCTTATTCTAGTTTAGGATCCTCCTTTGAGGCTAGGCTTAACCTCGGGAAGAGTACATCATTTTCAGCTGGAGGGGAGCCAAGAAAGGTGTATCCCAGAATAAACAGCTCTCCCATTGTTTCCTTAGGGACTCTTATCCGTGTGATTATGTTGCTTCTCCTGCTTGGTTCCTTTAGAACCCTTTTGATATTAAGCAACCAATCACCCCCCACCCAGGCACACACCAAATTAATAAAAAATAAAATATTTCCAATTTGTCACACAAGCCTTGTATAAAGGTCAAGTTTATAAACCTAAGCCATTTTCTGTTTTAAAAATAATGTCTAAAGTTAAGCTCCTAGACCGATATTTAAACATCTACAAATAATAGCCTGATTTTCAGAAGTGCTGAACCTCCAGCAGGTCTGGGTGCTCAGCAGATAATAACTGATAGGTTGCTCTAGGCATAGGAGGCAGAATGTTGGGTTTGAAGCTTAGCCTGAGGAAAGAAGATGAACAGAGGAAGCAAAGGGATTGAATGCAGAACGCAAAAGTGTCCCTGCGGGAAAACAAGACCAAAGATAAATGATAGAATGGAAGGAAAATGTTGTTGGACATGGTAAGTAAGGATGAGGAGCTTGAACTTGATGCAGCAATATACAGGAAGCCAATGGAGACAGAGTGATATGGACAGATTGGTGGAAGAGGACTTTGATAGAGATATTTTGAATAGACTGGAGGAGGAAGGGATAGGAGAGACAGTGAGGTCCTACAACAGAAGATTACAGGAATCAAGATGTGAGATAACCAATGGTTTCCGCGGTGGTTGCTGCAATGGGGACAGTAAAGAGAGGGTGAATTTTGGAGGAATTAAACGGGAAGAAGCAAGGAAGGACTTAGAGAGCAACTAGCTATATGGAGAAGGAGAAAGAAGGGCTTTTGCCAGATCTTATGATTTTATTGTAAGTCTTGTGACATTTGTTGTATTTTTCTAAAAACTCCATCTACTGGAAGGAACAGACTGCATGAAAATCTCAGCAGGTTTCTAGATCCTATGATTGTGGAGGAAAGCTTAAAATCAAGAAGCAAGTGCACTATAATGGCTCAGAAACCAGAAGAGAATTTAAAAAAAAACATTTTTTTTTAAATCATGATTTTAAAGCCAGTGTTACGACTTTTTTAGGGCTTGATTTATGATATTGGAATGCTTGGATTTGGCAATACCGAAGAAGAGTCTACAATTTTATAAAATACATATTTATAAAATTATCAATGGGGAAGAAATACCTATGATCTTGGTTCTCCTCTCATTTACACTGGCATAATAGTAGTATAGTCAGGGGCACTAGCTTGGTATAAAGGTTGTGTAAGTGAGGATAATCTGATTGTTTACACCACCGGTGGAGATTTATTATAATGTATATGTTTCTCTAGGTGAAGACAGACTGTACAAAAATTAATTTTCATTTATGACGCATGTAAATTATGAGTCCTTTTGGACAGTCGTGAAAGTAGTATTTAACCTGATGATGGGGCATTGCCCTTGAGCATCCCCTCGTGTCCTGTTGGTTTGCTGCCCTTCTGCCCCCTCTCTCCAGCTCTCCTTCTGGATGGACCTAGCTTGTACTTTAAACAGTCATTCCGCCTTGCTTTAGTGCAGGAGCCTTCCAGCTCTCCTGCAGCTGGATTGTACATTAGGTCAGCTCCAGGGACTCAACCAGCTTCTCCTCCTGCTGACCCCTTTAGACTTGGGAGACTTCAGCAGTCCAACCTCCTCCTGGTGGTATTCATCTGCTATGAGGGAGAAAGCAGCATATATGGTGGTCCCCTTCCCAAAGCTCATCCCAATTAGCTGGAAGAGAGGGGAGCCTTTTCTCATATACTCTGCAAGGCTCCTGGTCCTGGTCCATTAAAGAAACAGTAACACTTTTTCTCCCCAAAACACTACTTATTCCTAGAACCACTTCCCTCTCTAGTCTTCTGTCTCCTAGTTCCTAGGTCCTTGCATACAAAATCTTAAAGGGACCATACCAGGGGACAAGGTTCACTGATCCCTAGGCTCTACTACACTTAAGAGGGCAGACTACCCCCATCAAAATCCTATGCAGGCTTTATTTGAAATTCTTATATACTACATGAATACTTCAAAAATATTTTCATTATTGACATGTGTGGATGTGCAGTTAGTATGTCATGTGGTATATAGAGAAACTAAGGGTATATATATAGAGAGAAACTAAGAATTCTTCAATAATAGTTTAAATTATGTAAATGCATTGGGCAGGAGTAAGATTATTCCTTAGCTACACACAGTTTGGGTCAGTGGGTATATGTAGACCTATCATCTCTACTGAAATATGGTTCGATTCCTGAAAGTCAATTAATGTAAAAGTTAATATATGAAAAATGTTTCCAAGTGTCAGGTTTTCAAATGTCAAGATACCAGATGCTATGCAATCAGAAATCAAGTATTACAGTGCTATACTGTGGAGTTTAGTTCTGTAGACTTTAGCCTTTACCCTAGGGTGAGTCAGCAAGTTTGATTTAAAAGCACCCTTAAATTCTGCTCAAAAGCTTGTGTGTGGGACTGAGAAGCGATTTGGGAGCAACACCCAAGTAAGAGCCCAGGTTAAATCTGTAGTAAAAACATACCGTAAAGCAAGAGGACTTAAGAATCACATGCTTCTCTGAGAAAAAAAATATCTCCTAATAACACTTAGTTCTAACTGGAAAATTAGGTGATTTTTTATTTGAACACAGTAACTTGGATAATGGTCAGGGCGACCTAACTGCATACTGTAACTCAACCTGTCATGGTACAAATGTAGGACTGTAACTCAATAGCCACAAGAAAAAAATGTAGGAAACTTATAAAATGTTCAATTATTATCTAATTAGTCAAAAATAGCATATTCTCTCACTTTGTAGTTCAGCACTTCTAGTTTAAGTAATTTATAAAACTAAAGTGAAATTTTACAATGTTTATGTGGGAGTTGTACATTTTGGTTTACAGTGGGGGAAATCCCATGTGTTGAGAAACAGCTGAAAGGAAGGACCAACAGATAATTCATTTCAATTATATGTTTGAAATACTTCTCCAAAAACTTAGCATAACAACCTGCATTCTCATATATCTTACTAAATTCGCTGAATAATCCACTTCCACTCCTTTCCAGGTGAAGGCTCTCAAATTCACCAGTGTGTATCATTGTGTTTCTTGTGAAGTTATTTAAAATACCCAGTAGCAGAGTTTGCAAGCTATAAAGTGCATACCAGCAAAAGAAAAGGCACATTTAAGACCTAAAAAGGTTCCTTTTTGAAGACAAAAGCAAAAATAAAGACTACTACTAAAATTACTGTTTAATTTCCCCCCCCCCCCCTTAGAGACTCAAAATAGGGTCTACTTTTGTGTGCTTTATTATGTTCCAGTGGTAAGCTATCTTCCCATAACAAGTTTGAATTTTAAAACTGCACCACCCTCACCCTTCTCTCTTCCCCTAAAGAAACCCAGTCACCTGATGGTTATAAAAGCAAATTGCATGGGACACCTGTGTTTCTGTGAACACTATAATCTCTCAGTTTCCAAGAAGGTGGATCAAAGGAATCTCACAGAGGGGAGTATGTCCTTGGACTTTGTATGTTGCGGGGAGGGCAGGTTTGGCTGGGGATGGTCAATCAGTGCTTTAGCTCTTTTTTCTATCAGCCCATAGAAAAATTGGGGAAACTTGTTCCTATCTGTCCAAAGGGAGAGGGAGAGTGTTAAATGGCACAGTCCGATGAAGTAGGCTGTAGCCCATGAAAGCTTATGCTCAAATAAATTTGTTAGTCTCTAAGGTGCCACAAGTACTCCTGTTCTTTTTGCGGATACAGACTAACACAGATGCTACTCTGAAACCTGTCAAATGGCACAGTGTAAGTCCCACACAATAAAGAAAGAGGGGGTGTCTCCATGAACTTCTTCTTGAAGAGACTATGGACAATAAGACAATCTGATGCAAGAGAGGAGAAGGGGCAGGCTACAACCTTAAAAACAACAAAATAAAGAGTAGGTGGACGACACCAAGACACCAAATTTCTCTGAGCAGAAAAGTTCAGAGTTAGCTTTTAGAAGGAAACTTACCCTAGTTGCCATCCCCTGACAATTTTTACACTATACTACAAAGTTTTGTAAACTATTCTCCCTATCTGATACAGTTATGCTGGCAAAAAAAACAGCTGCAGGGTTGCTGGAACAATTTGTATAGTGGGGGTGCTGAGAGCCATTGAACCAAACTATGAATTCTGTATATGATGGAAACCACTTCTAGCCAGGAGGTGCAGCAGCACCCCCAGCACCCCTAGTTCCTGCACCTATGCCCCAATGTGGACATAGTTATGCAGAAATCAAAGTGCTTTTCTGGGCCTACCTAATGTCATTCAAGGAAGCAGTGTTATTACGCCGACAAAACTCCTGTCGGAATAAGCTTCATCAACAATATGGGACTCTGTCAGTATATCTGTACCAGCAAAGCATTTGTAATGTAGACAAAGATTTAGTATGTGTTTGTGCCTGTGAGTAAGAGCCAAGGATTATTATTATTATCTTCCCTAGCTATTCCTCAACAGAATTGGAACACAGTCTAACTGAGGGTGTGGATAAGCATCTTCCATATTTTCCTTCCTTGACTGCTTCCTTATTTTTACTGGATGAGGCAGAAGATTCTCAATCTAATCTAAATAAATAACAATATAGTTAACAGTCCAAAATGGAATAAAATACCAGAACTGCAATAAAAATGTTGTTGAATAGAACAATGATATCTACCAACTACAACATGAATCTTTTATTATGTTTCAGCTTTCCCAGTTAGTCTTTCTCTGCCTGATCCTAATACCATGACTGACTATCAATGATAGCAAGATTAGCAGATACCAACCAAGTAGGATGGAATAGAGGATGCGTGGTCGATCGGAAGGAGGCTGGATGTTTTTGTCCTGATCTATAGCTTCTATTGGTGGAGTGACATTGATGGGGTTCACTCGTGTCTGAAATGAAAATTAGGGAAATTAGAGCTGATAAATTACAAAGTCTGTTTGTTTGCAGTTCTTCAGATTTAGTACAAAATCATTTTGCTACAGTGGATATTTACTTGAATGCCAAAGAAATAATGTGCATGCATGTAAACATATAATGCAATAATAAGGACACATCTTTTGTGAAATGTAAAATTAACTATGCAAAACTAAAAACTTCAAGGGTGAAAAATTTGGAACACAGAACATATGTCTTTATTGTTTTTCTTTAAAGAAACCATATTATCTTTAAAATAATATATCCTGATAAAGTCCCCAATTCTGCAAATATGTATATACTTAACTTTACTACTGTGAGTAGTTCCATTGATATGGGATTACCCATAGTAATCAAGTTAAGCACATATGTAAGTGTTTGCAGGACCAAAGTCAAAAAGAATACCTTCATCAATATCATGTCAGATATTAATTAGCTTCTAAATTATTGCTGTTGAATACATTAATACTTCAAAATATGCTGACAATTAATACAAACTCATTTTGTGAATCATTATGAATTCAAATGCCAACAATAATATATGTGCCCCAAACAAAATTCAAACCAATGCTTAGGTACTATGATGGGTGCATTTGAAATATTTCTGACAGACAGATATTTCCTTGTAATAAAATAGTTTATATTATCCAGACACACAGTGGCCTAGTGAACTGACCACAGGAGTGGAATGTAGGCACTCCTGAGTTCCACTCCTGGGTTTGACAACGTGTTATTCAACCTTCATTGACTCTGTTTCCTCAACTGTAAAATGTGAACAGTAATATTTAGTTATACCAGAGAATTAGTCTCAAGATTAGCTAAAGACTTCAGTGCTTAAAATGGCAAAAACGTAATACAGTAAAAATCTAGCTGGGTCATTGAGGGGAGCACTTTAAGCACCTGTTCCATCACGCGAGCTACTTCTCTCTACTTCCTGGACACCACAATCAGCTTCAACAAAGGAACTCTACAGACAACCACATACAAGAAACTCACGGATAGGGTAACCAGACAGCAAGTGTGAAAAATCAGGACGGGGGTAGGGGGTAATAGGAGCCTATATAAGAAAAAGACCCAAAAATCAGGACTGTCCCTATAAAATCGGGACATCTGGTCACCCTAGTCACGGATCACGACACCTAAATTCATAGATCCTATGCACCCCAAACACACCAAGAAATCTTATCTAGAGCCAGGCCCTCAGATACCACAGAATATGTTCCAAAGACAAAGTCTGGGATATACACCTTAACACATTTAAAACCACCTTTACCAAACAAGGGCACTCCACCAGAGAAGTAGATCGCATCATGTAATGGGCCACCCAAACATCCAAGAGAACATTCCTCAATAATGAAATAAAAGCCCCTCTGACTGCACACCTGTAATTGTTACCTACCACTCCACACTGGAACCCATAAAAGGTATCATCAAGCAACTACAACCCATGTTCGATGGGGACCCCATCCTGAAAGAAATCTTTCCTTAACCTCCACTTCTGCCCCCAACCCTTCCAAGCACATCATCAGAAGTAAGCTCCCCACAGACCAGGACACACCAACTCAAAGCAGCACCAGACCCTTGCCAAAACAACAAATGCAAAACCTGCAGACATATCTCCATTGCAACGATATTCAACACCCCCCTACAACACATTTTTTAAGATCCATGGATCCTACATATGCCAATCACATGTGGTGTACCTCATCCAGTGCATTAAATGCCTCAATAACAACTCTGTGGGTGAAACCAGAAAATCACTATGCTCTCAAATGAACTCTCACAGGAAAATGATAAAAGACAAAAACACCACATCACAATGTTTGTGAGAACATTCTCACAAAGTGAAAAGAACAAGAAGGACTTGTGGCACCTTAGAGACTAATAAATTTATTTAAGCATAAGCTTTCGTGGGCAAAAGCCCACTTCATCAGATGCATACAGTGGAAAATACAATAGGAAGATATATATAGATATATATAGATATATATATGAACATGAAAAACTTCAAGAATTATAACATTCAAAAGCCAGTTGGAGAACACTTCAACCTCCCTGGTCACTCAATTACAGACCTAAAAGTCACAATTATCCAACAAAAAAACTTCAAAAACAGACTCCAACGAGAAACTGCAGAAATACAATTAATTTGCAAACTGGAAACCATTAAATTAGGCTTGAATAAAGACTGGGAATGGATGAGTCATTACACAAACTAAAAACTATTTCCCCATGTTAATTTCCCCCCTACTGTTACTCACACCTTCTTGCAACTGTTTGAAATGGGCCATTCTGATTATCACTACAAAAGTTTTTTTCTCTTGCTGATAATAGCACACGTTAATCAATTAGTCTCATTAGAGCTGGTATGGCAACACCCATTTTTTCATGTGCTCTGTATATATATCTTCCTACTGTATTTTCCACTGCATGCATCTGATGAAGTGGGCTTTAGCCCACAAAAGCTTATGCTTAAATAAATGCATTAGTCTCTAAGGTGCCACAAGTCCTCCTCGTTCTTTTTGCTGATAATATGGCTACCAGTCTGAAACCTTTCACGAAGTGATCACTCTGTATCTGACCTCTCAGTTCTCATCCTCAAAGGAAACCCTGCACAACACTCTCAAAATACAAGCCTGGGATCCTGAATTCATTACTCTGTTAGGCACCAAAAACCATGGACTGAACAGAGACACTGGAATTATAGCTTGTCACAACAACCAACAACCCACTATCCCCATATATTTGTCCTTTGCCTGCAGAGGTGTTAACAGGCCACTCTATCTTGAATGGTCCCTTACAATATGTGCTAACTACTTATGCTAAACAATCTTTTCCACCTTGCATAGACTCACAGACTTTAAGATCAGAAGGGATCATTATGATAATTTAGCGTCTGACCTGCAAGTTGCAGGACACAGAACCTCACTGACTCATTCCTGTAACAGACCCCAAACCTCTGGCTGAGTTACTGAAGTCCTCAAATCATGGCTTAAAGACTTCAAGTTACAGAAAATCCACCATTTGCACTGGTTTAAACCCGCAAGTGACCCATACACCATGATGCAGAGGAAGGCAAAAAATCTCGAGTCTCTGGCAATCTGACACAGAGGAAAATTCCTTCCCAACCCAAATTACGGTGATCAGTTATACCCTGAGCATGTGGGCAAGACCTACCATCCAGACATCTGGGAAAGAATTTTCTGTAGTAACTCAGAGCCCTCCCCATCTACTGTTCTATCACCAGCCATTAGAGATATTTGCTGCCAGCATTCGCAGATCAGATATTTGCTGCTAGCAGTTGCATTTTGCTGGGACGCTGGGAGTTCCCCAGCATGAAGAGCAGCTCTATGTGGCTCGAAAGCTTGTCTCTCTCACTAACAGAATTTGGTCCAAGAAAAGGTATTTCCTCACCCACCTTTTCTCTATAATAACCTGGGACCAACACGGCTACAACTACACTGATCCCAGATTATGACTTGCTCCCCCTCATCCTCACTTACTTTTTTTCAGACCATTTGACAGCAATAGCAACAGCAGATATGGGGGGGGGGGGCAGTGAAAGACAGAGGCGTGTCGCTAACTTTTTTTGGGAAGCAGAAATTGCATCTTTGCTAGAGATGAACCTCTTAAGGCTGCTGTACCTCACTCATGAATAACGACGTGAGCATTCCCATTGATTTCAATGGAACTAATCATTTGCTTAAGTGTTTGCAGATTCAAGACTATGTTATGCTGTTAACTTGTTTCAATTAAAAATCAGAAGTCATTATTTCCATAGCAAGCAAAGAAAACCGGAATGAATATGTTTCAGTGACATATGGGACTGTACCTGCACTAACTTTTCTCCAACCTAAATTCCCACTGAATTTCAACTGAATACAATATTCTTAATTTCCTGTGTTAACCTGTTGTGTATCTTTATTGAGCATGGCATTCCAGCTGAGAAAAGAACTGGGAATACTGTACAAAGATGGCTTTAAGCCTGTGACACATAGTTAAGTTGCATATGGTTCCCTCTCATTCTACTTACTGTCACTATAAATTACTTACTGGTTGCTCTGACATTAAATTGACAGGTTCTATAGCTGTCTCTCAGTATCAAAAAGATGGTAAGGACCACTCTGCCTGTATAAATAGATCATAATAAAGCACTTTGAAATTCATCAAGATGAAGGCTCTATAACCATTTAAGACATCATTATAGATAATTCAGTAATATACTTAAGGTTGCCTGACAGTTTCCATTATAAGACACTGTTTTCAGTTGCCTAAAACTTTGCCAAACTTTAACCATGCAGTGTGAAATTTTCTATGCCTTAGCACCTGCCTCAGGCTTCTTGCCCCCCCAAAATGTGCCACCAGTTGCTGTCCCAGCCCGTCAGGGTAAGCAGCTGGCACGCCGGGACACTTTGTTTACTTAGGTTTACCTCCATGCCTGCGGACGCGAGGTAAACAAACAATCTCGGCCCGCCAGCGGCTTATCCTGATGGCCCGGGAGCCAATGTTTGCTGACCCCTAAATTATAGGGTCAGCTTATGAACGGGTCATAAAAATTTTCCATTTTTACTTATCCATCTTGGGGGGGGGTCAGCTTATAAACGAACCGGCTTATGATCAAGTATATACAGTACATTGTTTTTCCCATGTTAAATAAATCTTTCCATTGTTTCTGAGATGCATAGATTTTAAGGCCAAAAGGGACCATAGGATCATCTAGTTGGACATCCAGATAAGACAAGTTAAAGAACCACACACACTAATTTCTGCATCGAGTAGAGATAGAAGCTAATTCTCCAGGACAGCACTCAACTACCTAAACTACAAGACCACAAGACCATTCTTCTCCTGCAATCCCCTGCCTCATTCGTTATACATCTTCCATCTTCTGCAACAAATGAGGAAGGGGATCCTACAGACAACAGCTACATTAACTACACATCCCAGACTCAAGTATGATCCTGTTTTTAACATT